TCTATCGCCTGTGATCAGGTACGTCTCTATCGCCTGTGATCAGGTACATCTCTATCGCCTGTGGTCAGACTCCAATTTTGAGGGCTTGAAACTTGTGATGTGACTTTTACATGAACGTGTGATGACTTGTCGGACATTTGACTCAAACATGAGGATTTAGATATGACAATGGTGACTGGGCGAGTATGCTATGACTCAGACATAATGTCATTAAACTCGTTCTTAGCCTCTTTGACTGAGTCATGACCTTTGACTGTATGGGCCAATATGGGACAAAGTCAACAGTAAGTCTCAAGTCTTGGCTGTAAAGTCCAACGTCGAGACCAATAAGTCAACTTGCACACTAAAGTTCAAGTCTTAAGTTTTATCCCAAATAAGAACTACAATTTTACAGTAAACAATCCCAAAACAAGACAAACTGGTTTGATCCCCAAATCAACACCAACAAGTTCCAATCCAGAATCCGACAGAAATGGTTTATTGCCAAGTAGGTTTGCACATACAAGGAATTTGACTGATGGTGGTTAAAAAGTCCGAAGTCAACACCAACAAGTTTCAAGTCAACAGGTTCCAAGTCCTAAACTTGTTTTGGGTTCTAAACAAGTCATTATTATTATTATTATTATTAGGAACTTAAAATGACTTTCTTAATAATAACTAATAAGTAAAGATATCATTTAAACAGGCGCGTTATGTTAGTTTTGAAGTGTTGAAGACTTGAGGTTTGTCCAAGTCCACAACACCATTAGTGATCCTCTACAGATTGAAGTTTATTGTACCGTATCCATAAATTGTTGTTGAGTGTTGAGTTGAATATTCTGTCTGTCCACCAACACATCCTCAGGTAGAGTCAGAGTCAGAAACTGGCTTTCTGAGTCTTCTTTGTGTCTCTGGTTTGTAGACTGTGTGGCAGGAAATTGAAAAGCAGCGTGATCACCAGCCGAAGCAACATGATGACCATCAAATTCAACTCTGACTCGTCCTACGTTGACCAGGGCTTCACCGCCGAGTACGAAGCCTTTGTCCCAACTAATCGTAAGACTGGTTTATTAAAACTCAATTTCTTCTGTTTTAACCCAATAACAATTCTGTGCGCTTTCTCGGGCATGCCTTCAGCTTAGAGATTGATTCTCTTCCTTTGTGTCGATTTTACTGTTTGATGTCGTTGATCAGCTTGTCCTGGGAGGTTCCAGTGCACCAACAACCTGTGCATCAACCAGACTCTGCAGTGTGACGGCTGGAACGACTGTGGAGACGGCAGCGACGAGGACAACTGCAGTGAGTCCAAACCGCCGACTGTGGACGCATTTAGCTTTTATCTACACGTAAATCAAACATATGTGAACAGCTTTCAGCCACATCTCACATCCTGCTGCTGTAAACTGATGAAAAGTGACCAGCTGTTGAAGGAAGTGACTGATGGAACTATATATTTGTGTTTGTAAAGAATGACCTCTTCAGTAGGAACCAATGGGCTTGGAACTGCGAGACACAGACAGGAAGTCAGTCAGTATTGAGAGACAAGCTAACACATCTTTGTTTGTTTATGTTTTGTGTGTCGGCGCAGCGTGCGAGGCGTCTCAGATGAAGTGTAAAAATGGCCGCTGTAAACCCAAGTTCTGGGAGTGCGATGGGTTCGACGACTGCGGAGACAAAACCGATGAGGAGAACTGTGGTGGGTTGAAATAAAATGACTGCTGATAATCCTCCAGATGAAAAGATATTTATGCACAAATCCATAGAAAAGTGTGAGCATCTCACTGTTGGAGATGTTTACTTTTCTTTGTAGTAAAATGCAAACCAGGAGAGTTTTCCTGCAGAAACAACCGCTGCATCCCAGAGACGTTAAAGTGTAACGGAGAGGACGACTGCTCGGACGGATCGGATGAGTCCACATGTGCGAAATGTAAGAGACGACTCTTTACTCTAATCAATGCTTCACTGCTCTGATTGGCTCGTGAGTGACAAAAACGCCCACTTCTTCTTCTTCTTCTTCTCTACTTTCTCAATGCGCTGTACTTCATCGTAAGGACACACACACACACACGACAGCAGGAAACCAAGATGAGCTTTATGGTATGACACGTCCAGTTATGAGGACATTTGGACGTTCATGATGGCAGTTCAGACATGCATGGATAGAAATGACCCTTTAAACACACTAGTACTGCATCAGTGAAACCAGTGTGAGTTTCTTCATTAGTAGGAGGAGTATTAGCAGTAGTATTAGTATTAGTAGTATTAGTAGTATTAGTAGTAGTGTGAGTACTGACACTGTGTCTGCTGTTGTTCAGCTCTGGTGTTGCAGCAGTGTTCAGAGTTCACCTTCCGCTGCAGGAACGGACGCTGCATCAGTAAACTGAACCCAGAGTGTGACGGCGAGCGGGACTGTGAGGACGGCTCTGATGAGGACGACTGCCGTACGTTGACGCACACGCACACTTACATTTGTGTCTTTTAGTAGTTATTTCTGTGTCTCCATGTTTGTATTTGTGTGTTCTTCAGAGTGCGGGACGAAGCCGTACCGGAGCTCTCGTATCGTCGGCGGTCAGGCGTCCCGGGAGGGCGAGTGGCCGTGGCAGGTCAGCCTCCACATCAGAGGCACCGGTCACGTGTGCGGAGCGTCCATGTTGAATAACCGCTGGATGCTGACCGCCGCTCACTGCGTCCAGGACAACGGACCAAACAAGTAGGAGCTCGACTACACAGAGAAGTTCAGCAGAACACATGTTGACAGGAAACCGGCTCTTTGAAAGCCTCTCATCATCGCTGATGAGTGCAAACTAACACATACACTATATTGAACCCAGAGCAGTCACGTTCCTCTCTGTGGTCTTGATGTTCTCTGTAACATGAAGTTCTGCTCCTCTAATAGAACCACCATGATCGAAGTAGAGAGAACTAGAACATGTCTTTAGTGCAGAACAACAGTTATGATGACATCAATCATTAGAAAGAAGAAAAAGTTGAATTTCTTTCTGATGATTTCTTTTGCAAAAGTTTGAAACAATATTATTTCTATATGCAACATGTTTCAAGTGTCTACAAGTGTTAATCCTGGACCGGTTTAAAACACTGTCGTCCTTGTGAGTCACTGAGACACAGAAACCAGAGGAAGTAGAGATGTTACCACTTAATAAGGCAAATGGTGTGTGTGTGTGTGTGTGTGTGTGTGTGTGTGTGTGTGTGTGTGTGTTGACGCAGGTACTCCCAGGCGGACCAATGGGAGGTCTTGCTGGGTCTCAATGTGCAGAGTCAGACCAACGAGTGGACGGTGAGGAGGAACGTGAAGCGGATCGTCGCTCACCCCGACTACAACCCCTTCACCTACGACAACGACATCGCTGTGATGGAGCTGAACGCCGACGTCACCCTCAACCAGAACATCTGGCCCATCTGTCTGCCCTCCACCACCTACGACTTCCCAGCAGGCCGAGAGGCGTGGATCACAGGCTGGGGGGCCACCAGAGAGGGAGGTGAGTGCACACTTCAATGCTTCTGCGACTCCAGACTAACCTTCTGTTTCTACTGTGAAGTCTGAAGAACAGCTCTGATCAAGTTAACTCCAGCTTGTTCTAGGCTGCTTTTATTGTGAAAGTCTTGACACTGAAACAGGAAGCTGTTCCTGTTTAAATCTAGGCTTCCAAACTGTAGTTTTAGTCTAAAACATGTTCCTTAACATCTGATCGTCAGGCCGGGCTGCGACCGTGCTGCAGAAGGCGGAGGTTCGGATCATCAACAGCACGGTGTGTAAGAGTCTGATGGACGACGAGGTCACCGACAGGATGCTGTGTGCCGGCGTCCTCAAAGGAGGCGTGGACGCCTGTCAGGTAACATCACACAACAACAGGCATGAGATGGAAGCACTGCTGGAGAAAGATCATGATAATCTGTACTCACTCAAACCAAGCGTAGCCCACATTCACCTCATAGTATTCAGACCAGGAGACAACATCTGGTGCTTCATGTGTTAAAGCTGCAGTCTCGCCACTGTTCATTTAGTAAGTTATGGTTCATTTAGAGTCAAACAGACCATAAAGCAGGGGATGCTTCAGGGCGGGGCTGCACAGTGATTGACAGGTCTCTACCATGGAGTTTTCCGGTCCGGAAGTTGTCCGTGTTTTCGTTTTACAACCAAAAATCAAGATGGCCGACAGCTAAAAACAAGATGGCGACGGCTATAAAGCAAGAACCCAGATGTCTTGTTCTTTCCCTGATCCACAGACACCGTGTGACATATCGAGACCATTACAGGCTGCAGCTTATGAGAGATCCTGCTCTGAATCAAACTGTTGAATGGACCATCAATGAGATAGTTAGAGAGTAACTCTAGACTACAGTCAGTAGCTGACTTAGTAAATGAAATGTACAGTCACCTTATTACAATGTGTTTTCATTCAATAACACATGGGGTCTAACATGGGGAGTTTAGTTGCTCTTTAAAACCTGCCTCTTAGGACTAAACCCAGACCTTTGGGTAAAGCACTTCCTGTGCTCGGTCCCCTGCAGAGTTGAACCTGAAACTCTCCTCTCGACTCTCTCAGGGCGACTCCGGCGGCCCGCTATCCGTCACCGGCCCCAGTGGGCGGGTCTTCCTGGCCGGCGTGGTGAGCTGGGGCGACGGCTGCGCTCGCAGGAATAAACCCGGCGTCTACACCCGAGTCACCAAATACCGCCGCTGGATCACGGAGCAGACGGGAGTGTAGGGCTGAACGAGACGGTTCCTGTCCATGTTCACGGCACAATCTGTCAATCAAACATTCTATAATCATCTATAACTCAACGAAGCAGAAGCTGAGAACTCCTGACTGTCCTTTCTTTCTTTAAGTCAATGAATCTGAGATCACAACCTGATCGTCTCCTTTTTATAGATATCATAGTAATAATATTAAGTGCACGTTCTCCTGTTATAATGAAACGTAGAAGTTGAACTTGGAAGTTAAGATAATTAAATGTTATTGATAATTCATTAACATTTAAAACTGCCAACTTGATGGATTATTGTAATGTAACGACCCTTTATTGGTGAATTAGTACCATTTATTATAACGTATGAATTATTAACTTTTACTGACACTAGTGGCTCAACAGCCAGAGAGAGTTCACAACCAAAGAGTTGTTTTTATTAAATCTTTAAAGCGTTTATTGAAGATTCACAAAGCGTGTGCTAAAGTATTTAACGCTGATTTAACAGGAAGTGGAACCAAAATAAGGTGTATAAATTATAGAAATAACAAGTTTGATGTGATGATCTTTAGATGGTGATGTTGAGGTAAAAGAAGAGTATGAATGAAGGTGTGATCTTTAGATAACACTTCTCTGGAAAGCTCCATGAGGTTCATTAATACTTAGAAAGGTGTAAATGTAAAGTGTGATGGCGTCGGGCAGCAGGGATATCCTCATGTTCATGTTTATTAATGTTCTCTGTGAAATACTTTGTCGGCGTAAATAGTTTGTAATTGAAACACTTGAAGACCATTTTGTAAATAATGAAAATATTCTCAGGGTTTAGATAATATACTCAGAACTACAGCTACAGACTCTGACTCGCTGAGTTAAACCGGATCAACCGGTGAACGCTCTCAGGACAAGAGGTTCACTGAATCCCGTCAGCTGACTTGCTTTTTCAAACACATTTAGAGGTTTGTTGTGATCATCTTGGACGTGATCCAGTCAACAAGGTGTGATGTGGAGGATCAGTGAAAGTCCTCCATGACTGATGAACAGGTCCCGAGTTCCTCTGTGATCCAAACAGGGTTCCTCACTTCACCCAGAAGAGAACCTTTAAAGATGAACCTGCAGAGACACTCTCAGGTCTCGTGAAGGAGCTCCTCAGGGAACCGTGCTGGGTCCTCTGGGATTCCCACAACACGAGCTGATGTACCAGAGTTCATTAGTGTTTTTACCACATCGTCACTATTTATTAGAATAACAGAGCGTCTGCATATTTACAGGAACCCGCAATGGTTCCTGGGAGCTCTGCTGCCCAACAGGCTGCTCTAGAGTCAGTGCTTTACAGAACAAAACCAACGGAACAGAAACCTCTAGGGTTGAAAAAAGTTAAGATTAAAGTCACATAAACCATTTTCTATGAATCAAATATTGGACTACGGTGCCAATAATGAATTATTATTGATGTGGATCAGTTTCAGAACTCAGAATCATGATTGCTCAAGAAGCCTTCAGGCTACGTGAGACTTTTAGTTGTTCCACTGACGTCAGAGGTTTGTCTTCTGTGTTTAAGGTTTGAGCCGCTGTTCTGTTACATTTCTGTTTTTGTTTTCATGTTTTCACTCTTTTCTGCTGAATGTATTTATTTGTACAGTGTTTTCTCATTCATCAGTCTTTCTAGTTATATGTGTAGCTTGGGTTGCAGGATAATTAACCACTCTTAAAGATAGAGCAACATGATTCTTCGTAGTACGAACATTTTTCATTAGTTTGGGGATTTAAACTCATTTTAAGATGAAACAGACACAGGTTTAGGTGAATGTACAGAGTAGACAAATAGAAATATAGAAATGTTCTTCTAATGTTTCTCTCTTAACTGACAAATCTCAAAACACTCAGTGGTTCTGATCATCTGTCAGCTAGTGAAGGAGATCAAAGGATCAGACTGGAGAACACAGATTGAGTTTTGATTCCAAACATAATTACAGATACATATTTTTTTTTTCATAATAATTACTATAATTCACTGTTTATAATAAAATATTTGTTCTTCATGTGAGTCGTGTCGATCCAAAGAGTTTCTTTGTGTGATGTGGTGTTGTTCTGTGTATATGGATTATGAGTTATTGTTGTAAATTAACTGCTAAAGCAAACATGTTTTTGCATTTGCAACCACAGAGCTTCTGCTGCATTTGCACCTCGACATGTGGTCTGTGACGTGAGACTCTACACTGACTGAACAGAACATCAGAGATGGTGGAATGCAGCAGCTTTCATCTGTTGACAGGAAATCTAGTTTAGTTTTGGTTTCCTCTTTGTACGCTCAGAGGTTTCAAGCAGCTCTCAGCAGTTCTTACAGACTTTGCAGCAAAGATGAAGAACATCTTTCCAAATTTTGCTCTCAAAAAACTCGGCTCCTTTGTCGGAATCGTTTTTATTTTTATTTATAATGTTGTGCTTGACAAGGATCTGAAGTGTAATTGTGAAAATAGAGATCTTGGCTGCGTTTTCTACATCTCTATCCCATGTTTGATTTTATTTGTTTTACAACTGTGGACGGAGAGTTTTACATGTGTCAGTGGAGAATGTAAGAAGGTTTTTTGTTGGCACACATTACCAAAGCTTGTGAAGGCAGTTTTCGTAGGTCTGCTGTGGGTCGTATCCGTGTTAATCGATGGAGACTGGTACGTCTGCTGTAGGGACAATAGAAAGTTGGCCTGCAAAAAAGAAACAAACCGTACAGCTGAGGAACAGACGGCCTTCGCTGAACTGAAAATCCTCTCCTGGGTGAGTTGTCTTTTATCACATCATGGGAGTGTTCTTCCATCAGTCTGTGTTATCTGCTCTCATAACGTATAGTATCGTATCGTATCGTATCGTGTGGTAACGTGTACTCTCACGGTGACGTGATGATATGAACCAATAACTCTGGAGATGAACACATAATTCTACTCCACCGTTGAAGAGACGCCCCGCTGCACTCGTCAGTTGAGACATTTTGATCTCTTCCAGAACTTGTCTTCTTTCAGACCAGAGGAAATAAAACATTTATTTTACTACTTTATTTATTTACGTCTGTAGATTTCTACTAAATTCACCAAAAGTTACCGTTAGATAATTTGCATATTCAAACATAGCATTTCAGAAATCTTGTAACACAATAAAGAATAGTCTTAATGTGAGTAATGAGCTGCAGAGTGTATCAAGAACACAGAGAAATGTACTCTGTGGGAAGTGACTCATACTGTACATTTGGTGCGCTACAAGTTTAAAAAGAGAAACTGTGATCTTAAGGTAACGCAGTGAGACGCTTTATTGCAGACACGGCTGTATCTGGGAATCTATAACCATCTCTGTTCCCTCTCTTTCAGGTTATCGGCATGTCTATACTCTGTGGTGTCATTGTAGTGGCTGTCACCATGTCATTTATTGAAATGATGAAATGCTGCAATGACAACAACAATCTGGAGGAAATTGTACCAGAACCAACAACAAGAGCAACACCAGAACCAACAACAAGAGCAACACCAGAACCA